GTCCTTGTGTCATCCAATGGATTTCAAAATTTATACAGTAGCACAGTGTTGCAGCTCAAGACTACCAAATGCTAGTGTTAAGACATGCAGATAAACTGGATAGAACTTATAATGGATAGAAGAATTATACCAAAGTAAACAGAGGGAGGAATGATAGGGAAAAGTTTTAGATAACTTAATAGATTGAATATTAAGGTAGTTGTAGAAGCAAAATAAGTAATGTGCTCTTTTAAGATTTGCTTTTCCCATAACTCCTTGTTTAAGGTGAGGATTATCTGACTCTAACTGGTAACTTCATTAACCTAACAAAGTTACCATGCCAGGATGAATTTACAATGCATATGTGGCTATCTTGTGTCTGTGACCTGTACATAGGAACTGGAATTGTATTTACACATCAAAGACCACTAGGGATGAGATAATGGCTAAAAAGGATATAAAAAGGGAAACGCTGAACAAAGGGTGTGCAGATACTAACCAGACCTGTTTCTGGCATTCCTGCCTGCTTCCAAGAAGAAATTTTATTATTTTATCCAAATTCTGTGTCTCTATGTATTTCTTTCTGAGATTTCTGCAACAATAAGGTTAGATGTGCATAGCTGTATTCCATCAACAAATTACATATATATATGAATATGACGGGGCTCAAGACGATTTGAGGGTACAAGTAAGTTAGACAAAGAAGTAGCCCAGGGTCAGGGCTTTAGGTCAGTGGTGCAGCACCTGCCTCACAAGCACAAGGTCCTGAGTTCAATCCCTGGTACAAGGAAAAAAAAAGAAGTAGCCCAAGTGCCCATGACCTTCACAGTCACAATGCCTTTTCTCCAAGCCTGCTCCTATAACCTCATGAGGAGTTTCCTACAATCAGGTGGCTGAGGACAATAAGACCAGCATCTGGTTTATATATGGTTCTGAATGATATATATGCATCACCTAAATGTGACAAGCTGCAGCTCTATAGCTCCTTTTTGGGACATCCTTGAAGGAAAGTGATGAAGATAAAATCCTCCCTGAACAAAACTTCCATCATCTGGTTGTTCACTTTGCTTGGGAGAATAAATGGTCAGATAAACAGTTATATACTCATTCATGAGATGTAACCATTTTCTGGATGGGTGAGGACTTAGAGGGAATATGATCAGAAAGCTAGTGACAAGGTCTGTGGAAGAGGTATATTATATATCTCTTGAATAGGAAAAATATGGATGTGTGTGTTTCACGTGAATGCCACCAAACAGTGACCTCAGAAAAGGAAAGTTTTAATAATCAAGTGGATAGAATGACCTGTTCTGTAGCTACCAGGTAGCATGTATCCTCAGCTAGTCCTCCAACTGCCCAATGGATTTAGGAGCTAAATGGATAGGATGACAAACTGAAAATCATTCAAGGGCTCAGCAAGATGGACTTTGACTCCTGAAGGTTTTTCTGGCTATGGCCACCAACAAGTGCCCAATATGCTACCAACAGAGAACAATACTAGGTCCATGATATGGCACCACTCTCCTAGTTACCTGATAGTGGGCTGATTACATTAGTCTGCTTCCATCATGGAAGTGACAGCATTCTTTTGTTACTGGAATTTACACACTCTCTGAATATGGACTTGCCTTCCCTGCACACAAGGCTTCTGCCAAAACTACTAGCTATGGATTTAAAGAATACTTTGTAAACCATTATGATATTGCATACAACATTGCTTTTCATTAAGGACCTCACTTCACAGTGAATGTAACTCACTTCACAGTGAATGAAGTAAGGGAATGGGCCCAGGTTTATGGAATTCACTCTTACCATGTTCCCTACCACTCTGAAGCAGCTGTTTTGACAAAATGGTGAAGTGGCCTTTTGAAGGCTCACTTACAGTGCCAGCTAGGTGGTGACACCTTGCATGCCTGGGGCAAGATTCTCTAGGAAGTTGATATGCTCTGAATCAGCAACAAATATATGGTACTTTTTCTTCTGTACTGAGGATTCATGGGTCCTGGATTTAAAGGGAAGTAAAGGGAGTGGCACCAATTACTATTAGTCTTAGTAATCAACTAGCTGATTATTAAGGGTAAGGGACAATATTTTTGTTTCTTGTCCCTATGACCTTACAGTCTGCTGGTCTAAAGATCCAAAGGCAGGAGTGTGTCCAAGAGGAGACATAACAATAATTCCACTCAACTGTAGATTAAGACTGCTGCCAATTATTTTGAACTCCTCAGGCCTCTGAATCAATAGACATAGAAGGGAGTTACTGCGATGGCTGGAGTGATTGATCATCACTATGAAGAGAGGAACTAGACTGCTACCTCATGGTGGAGTTAAAGAAGTACATGTTTGGAATACAAGAGATTCTCATAAAGGATCCCTTAGTAATATCATACCCTGTAATTAAACTAAAAAAAAACTACAACTACCCAATTCAGGCAGTTCTACTAATAGCCCAAAGCACTAGGTATAATGGACTTAAGGTCACTTTAAAAGAGCTACAACCAGCTGAAGTGATTGCTGTGGGTAAAGGGAATCCAGAATTGAATAAGGAAGGTACAAATACCAGCTATGACTACATGACCAGTTATAAGGACTATAATTGTCATATTTCTTCCTTGATTTTGTTATGAATACATGTGTACAAATATCAAACACATGTCTTTATTTTCTCTTACCCCTTATCATGAACAGAAGATATATAGACTTTATATCAACATTATACTTAAGTACCATTTATATTATAATATTTAAGATACAGAACAGGATAGCAAATAGAAGAGGAAACATTACCCAAGGACTTTACATCCTCTTGTACAGAGGGAGTTAAAGTTTCTTTAATAGTATATAGAATAGTTATATCATGTTAAGTGGGCATACAACCCTGCTATTATCTTTATTTAGAGATTGTACGGTTTCAAGGATGTATATGAATGTCAAGTTGACAAGGGTAGAATCATAATGGTTAGTTTTATGTGTTAACTTGGCTGGCCTGCAGTACTCAGACATTTGGTCAAGCATAGTTTGGATATTCTTGTCAAGGCATTTTTAGACATGAGATTATTATTTAATTCAGTAGATTTTGGATAAAACAGATTAACTTCCATAATGTGCTTGAGCCTTATCCAATCAGTAGAAGGCCTTAAGAGAAAAAGGGTTAATAGCACAAGAAGAGGCAATCCTGCCTTCACATTTCCTTCTGCCTCGAGATGCAACATCAACTCTTTACTCAGTCTCTAGCCTGTCTGTCTGCTCTCAAAATTTCATACTTGCCAGACTCCATAATCAGTTGAACCAATTCTCTAAAATAAGTACCTCTACATATCTGTCTGGGTGCCTCTCTCTGTCTAGACACACACATACACACACACACACACACACACACACACAGATGCACACACAAACACCTGATTGGTTCTGTTTCACTAGAAAACCCTAACATACATACATATATGCAAGGAAATATCTATCTGAGCTGAAATTGGTACTTTTGGGAGCCCTTTAACCATTTATATTTCAAATCTTCCAAGTCTACATCATTAATGACATTAAAGGTTTGCTTAATTAAGCTTAAAATCCCTGAAAGAATATTAACATGTCTTTGGAAATATTTACATGCACATTTAGAAAACAAAAAGATTATCATTCAAAATTGTAAGTGATAATAACATTCATAAGTAGTTCTATTGGAATATTGGAATATATTGGAATGCTCTAGGTTTTTCTAGTATAATTTTGGCTAAGGAATGAAATAATTTTAAGAGAAAAGAGAACAAAACAACAGCACCAATAACAATCAATCCCTCACAAACTCAAGACCCACACTATATGCCTAATTTTCTGAGAGAGGGAAAGTGGAAAACAGCTAAAAAGTCTACTGGATACTCAAAACCAGTATTCTGAGTCAGCTAGGGAACCCTATCCAACACTTTTTGAAAGCTTTATAAGTTAATCTAGACATACCAAAATATTGAAACAATGGAGGCAATCCTATACATAGTCATGGAAAAAACACTCCTTACCATAGTTATTCCAAAAAAATGTGTAGTCTAAGCATATCCTTAGATCCTTACACTCCAACACAAGGAGGAACTGTATTCTATGAAACTAGCATATTTTAAAACTGCTATCCTTAGTTTTATCCTAGCAAGTAGAGGAAGATCTCTTTCATCTTGACATTACAATCCACTCCTCTTAATGGCTGTCTGAGCATCCTGCTCTGTGTGGTATCTTCCATTGTAGCCTGGTACAACTTCTTTCAAAGAAGTGATACTGAATATAAATGAAATATTTCAGATATTCAGGACAATTGTAGACACAGACATAAAAAATATCCAATCCTCTTACACTGAGCAAATTAAAGCTAGACTATGTTTCTGATCTGCTACTTCTGGAATCTCACAGACAGGGAGAAGTTTACTCATTCTACTGTATCTTCTTTATAATAAGCCCTTGAACTCTCTCAGAGCTATTCTGGTTTATGGGTAGTTATCTATATTTGTTTTTGTGTGGAGGGGGTAAATGAAGGCTGATGGTTCCTACTCTACTATCTTGGTGACATTACCCCTCTACTATGTTTTTGCTGGTTTAAATTTGTATGTGCTAATTTATCCATGCAACAAAAGATGAAATTGCATATGAGTGCAATTATGAGAGACCTAGCATACCAGTGCCTAACACAATGTGGTTGACACTTGAACTGGTCAATCCAGGTATAAGAGCAACCTTTCTTCATTTAGCTCCTAGTGGGTCTCCTAGCATTGACAGTAAAAAAGGGAAAGCAAACATATTTCTAAAAAATAAAGGCTTTTTAGTGATTCCCATGGTCAAATTCCTTACTTAATTCTGAAAACTGTACCTGCTAAATGAATATTGTGCTCAAGGAGTGTTTTAAAAAAAGGGATTTCAACTTGAAAGCTTATTCTGAGTTTTTTTCCTGAAAAAAGAATGGTGTAAATTTATTGTATGTCTATAAATGTTTGCAAAATATGTCAGCCATTTAATGTAGTGCCTTTTCTGTTTCTTACCAAGTCCCGTTGATCCTCTTGTACCAGATCCATTTTGTGTACCAAGCAAAAAATTTTGGCATCTGGAGAGTTCTGCAGAATAGCCTCTAGGCATGATTGATAATAGTGCATGTCCTTTTCAAGTTCACGGCTTTCCACATCAAAGACATAAATTAGAACCTCCACATTTTGGAAGATGTTGTCCCGTTGGCTAGTGAAATAATTTTCCATGAAAGTATCTTGCCTGGTAAGAAAAATGTAGAGATGCCAAGCAAGTTCTCAGTTCAATCACTCCTGAATTTGATATATTTTTGTTAGCTTGATCAATATAAAAGATCATTTTAATATTTTGAAGAATAAATAATAGCAAACATGTCTGGTATTGCAACTTGAAGTGCAACATCCACCACCCTCTGCCCCTCCCCTCATGTTTTAAACACACTGACCTTTTCTCAGTTCCTCAACTGACCCATGGTTTATGTCCACCATGGAACCATTACACTCCTCATATACCACTCCTCTACCCTTCATCTTAATTAACTTCTGCTTTTCTTTTACATTTCAATTCAATTGATATTTCCACAGAAATAGTTCTTGACATACTTGACTTGAGTCAATCCACTCATCAAAGACTATTTGACTAATACATTCCATTCATTCCCAGCACTTATCACAAGTATATTACACTTGTTTGCATGAGCTTCTAATTAACAACATTCACTTCACTAGACAGCAAGGTAAGGACCATGTCTGCTACTATGCCCCATTGTTTATTGGGTTTTAAAGGATCACTAGATATCCAATGAACATTGCTTAATGAATAGCCTAGTAGTCAAATAGTCTTTACATGAAAATGACTACAATGATAATTTTCTGGCAGAATGTTGTTCTTTGTTCCTTAGAGTGTGTTCCACTTCCCAAGAAGTTCTCAGTTAACAGCTAAACATTAGAAAAAGTAACACTGTAGTGGGGGAAAATCATGAAACTAAGTTCTAGTCCTACACCTTACTATTAATTAGCTGCCTGATCTTGGGAGAATCATAATGTCTCTGAATCTTAGATAACTTAGCCATAAAAATGAAACCACATTTTAGTGCCTAAAAGAAGATTTGGATTAATCCCTTGATATAGATTAGAGAATTGGAAGCAACAATAATGAGAAAGGATTTAAATGGAGAGAGCTGATAGGATGTTAAGTCATCCATACTAGCAGGAATGAAGTCATTTTCTTGGAAAGTATTCGGCCATTACATTATTCTTTCAATAAATATTCAATGAGTACCTAATCTATGTTTAGCTCTATGCTAGGAGCTGGGAAAGAACAAGCTGAAAATAATTTCTATTTATTTTTTGAGACACTAGTATTTACTTTTATATATATTATATTATCATACATAATAGCATTTATGAGCTGATACTATTATTACCCCTATTATAAAAATAAAGAAACTGCAACTCAGAGAATTTAAGTAATCTACCCAAGATAACACAGCTAACAGACAAAATATAAACCCCAATCTAATTCCAGTGCCTACACTTCTAAGCACCAAGCACTCCACATTGCTGTTTCAGTATAGATACACAAGTGGCCAAAGGATAGGACACAATGCACTATCAGCATAGAAACACAGTGAGTGTATCTTTGTGATGGCATATTCAGTGAATGCCTTGGTCATGAGAGGAAGACCTTTCACTTACTCTTACTTAAAACAATGAGTAACTAGCCAGATAATATATGCCAAGTCTGATTCACAGTGCTGAGACTGAGAAAATTATTGAAATATCTAAGAATAAATTATTATGGTGTGATAGCTAAGAGCTTGGCACTAGTGTCAGACTATATGAGACAGATACCTTATTTATGCCCCTGCAAAAGAAAGGTGTTCTATCCTATACCAAAAATATCTAGGGGGTGCTAGCTAATATGTTACAGAGGTCATTTTCACAACTACACAAAAGTCAAAGATCTTTACTTAATCAAGTACCCATTAAAAAGTAATTCCATCCAATGTATCTATTACAAATGATAGTAACTCTAGGTGTACTTGCCATACTGATTATACTAGATGCCATGGTTACTGCCATTAGCTTCACAAACAAGTAAACAGATGGTACTTACCCACCACAATCCCATAGGTTCAACACCAAGTTTCCCAGAAATCGAACATGAGAATGCTCCACATCAACTGAAAGACAAATATGGCAAGTCTAGTAACTGTAGCATGCAAAATGAAATTGAAAATAAGCAAAGCACTAAGCCATGGAATTTAGAAGGACCATAGTGGAGTGAAATGCTCAAAGCCACAAGAAGAAGGTGATTTTCAGCTTAATAAGTGCTTTAGTGCAAGGTAGGCACCTACACTATCCTGAGCTACAGAACCAGCTCTCATGTAAGTCATTTTACTTTTCAGTAGTTTAGTATTTAGAGCAGAAATGATCTTCAATTATACCAAAGTCAAAATTTCAACATGTAAGACAGGGATATATACCATTTAATAGATCTTCCTTGTTCCACCTGCCCTATAAAATAACAAAACAAAACATAACCAAACTAACTACTGTATTGATTTTCTTTTTTTATTAATGACCTACTTTTTCCATTTTTGACTATTTTTCCCACAATTCATTGCTAGTCCTTTGTAATTTCTCTCAATTCTGCTCCTTTTTTATAATACACCACTAACATTAAGGACGGTCCTTATCACCTCATGCCTGCAATACTACAAAAGCCCCCATAACTGACCCTCTCTACCAAAAATTACTGCCAAGCTCATCTTCTTAACACTACTTTGAACATGTCACTCCCCATTCAAAATACTTTCAGTGGCTCCTCCATGCCTAAAGGGAGGTATTCAAGGTCCTTCATAATTTAGCTTTCAATTTATCTATATATTTTCAATAATTCACATTAATAAAGCCTTTCATTCCAGCCCAATTAATTTTATTCACAGTCCTCCCAAATCCCACTACCCCCCAACCTCCAATACACCTTACATCAGGGGTCGCAAACTTGCTAATAGGGGCCAAGCCAGTAAACATACACCATTAAAGTTGGCTACATACGAAGGGTAAACATCTACCCAATGGGATAGTAGAGTAAATGATAGTTACTCAGCTCTTTTTCATTTTCCATGCAGGAATGTTAGGTCAGGGCTACCAGATCTTTAAACTTTTCAATAGTAGTGGGAAATCCAGATTTTTATGTAAACTTTTACAGGTGATAACTAATTCCAATTTTTCTAAAACAGTGTACAGGCCAAACAAAATAAATTTACAAGTTTTATCCAGCGTACAGGTTGCCTGTTTGCGACCTCTGCCTTACATTTCCCTTCCCACTAACCTTTGCATATTCTGTCCTCCTGCCTGGAATGCCCTCCCCCATCTTTCCTTCAAAGTTTTACTGATTTTTAAAGACCAAGACTAAATCCCACTTCCTCTAAAAACTGCCTAACTCCAATTACCATAATTTCTCCCTCCGAATTCATTCAAACATTTTTTAAGCATCTACTCTTTGCCAGGCACTAAAAATACCAAGGAGGAATAATAAAAAGTTTTATTATGAAAATTTCTCAAAGTTTGGCAATTATCATCTAACTTATGTTATAGTCAAATTAATCACACAGTGACATTTCTCTACAACTATCTCAAAGCAAAAGCTTAAATTGACCACTATCTAAATTTTGTGCAATTTTATGGTCTCATAAAGTAGATCACAGACAGCAAAGCTTTACAAAATAAAACACACAGGCTTTGGTGTCAAACAGATCTCAGTTCAAATACCAGCTTTACCTCTCTGTGTGACTTTGGGCAAGTCACTTAAGCTCTAAGTATCTTCTTCCACTTCTATTTAAAAAAGAAAGGTGGGGTATAGTACTGACCTCACAGGATTACTGTGAAGATACAGTGAGTTATCCTACATCAAGTGCCTGGCATGTAGTAGGTGCTCAACTACTTCCCTTCTCCCCTTTACTTGCCCCTCTTTGGAAAAGGAATCATATCTTACATGTTTTTGTATTTCCAACAGAGTCTACGAGAGAGTAGGTGCTCAAACTGCTATTAATTTGAAGACTATGTAAACGGTCTAGTACTAAAAAATAAAATGGAAAGAAGTGCTACTGAGAAAGGGAAAGACAATAACAAAAGAAGTGACAGGATTCAGTGACTTTAGATATGGGGCACATGGGACAGAAACCTGGTTTCTATGCCTATATCACAGAAATTGCTGTCTTCATGTTACCAGTGGTCCCATTGCCAAATCCGGCAGACTTGTTACACCTTGTCTTACTTTCCACAGCATGACACTGTTGAGTATTCTCTTCTCAAACAATTCTCTTCTCATGGTTTCTGATACCAAACCTATGAACTCTTTGGAAGATTCTCCCATACATGTTCCTATTCTTCTTTCTGTCCCTTAAATGTTAGAGTTCTTCAAGGCTCCATCCTTGGTCATCTTCGCATCTATATATTCTTCCCTGAGGCAAGATAATCTATTTATATTATTGTATTTGCCATGTAGATACTAATAACTCATAAATAGGTAGTTTTCCTGCCTTTCTGACAGTGGTACCACAGTTCATGAATTTAATTTGTTCTACAATTTTGGAAAAGATGGCCATATTTGTATTTGTGTGGGAAAAATGGTCACAGTTGTGTTTGTCACTTGATTCAGGGTTTGCAAAAAAAATTAAAATTTTCCAAACACTTCTGTTTGCAAACAAAAGCATTTGTGAATTGAGGTACAACTGTATTATACATTCCACTGGAATAAAGTACAAGTATCCCAAACTCATAGCCAAATATAACTCTTCTTTCCTTTCTTCCTATAAAATCAACTCCCCTTTCAGTCTTCTCTATCTCAATGAATTTAACCAGTTGCCCAAGACAAAACCTTAGTTTCATCATTCAATCTGCTCTTTCCCTTATCACTCTCTCCAAGAGTTTTTAAACTCCTGTTGACTCTACTTCTTAAATACATACCAAATCTAGTCATTTCTTACCTGGTCTTCTAAAATAGTTTCTTAACTGGCCAAACTGTTCCTACTCTTGTCTCCCTCCAATCTATATTCCACATTACAGACAAAGTAATCATTCTAAAATGCAGATTTTATCCCATTCTTTTAAAGAAAAAGAGTATGTCTCTCTGTATTTGTATGATTTTACACTCATATAAGATCCAAAAGCATAACCTCAGAACTTCTAATGTCACTTGTCTCTTGGAAGTAGGCCTGAGAGTCAGAGAGAATAGACTTATAACACATATAATATTTGAATTTTTCATAAGTATTATTCTTGTAACTAAAACTGAAAATCAGAAATAACAAAAAAAATAAATCTGATGTTATTTTTCTGTTTAAAACTTTCTAGGAGCTATTCTCTGCCTTCAGTTTAAATGACCTACTTTGGTTTAAAAAGCATATTATGATCTAACTGCCATTTCCTACTTCCCTCTTAGTCTTGTGTTCTCTATATGGCCTTCTGACTCTTCTAATCTTCCTGCCCTATTGTTATGACAGTAGCTGAAAAGAACCAAGAGTAGAGCTTTAGGTAATTGCACACACTTATGGGGCAGAAAGAAGACAATATTATAAAGATTGTCTTTTTATAAAAGCAGGAAGGGATGGTTAAAGATAAAGGAAGAAAATTATGGTAATAAAGCATTAAATAAAAGCCAAGAGAACAGAGAATTTTGAGAAGGTAGATATCTTACAGTGGCAACAGTGTTTGAAACTAAAATACTTCAAAATCATATTTTTATTGACAAGTGTACTATTCCAACAAACACATTTAAACATCTTCCTAATAAATTAACAACACCATCATTCTGTATCCTTACTTCAAATTTCAAACCACATTAGGCTCTAAATTTAAAATAAAATTGAACTTTTTCTGGAATGACAAACTAGAAAAACACTAAAACATTAAAGCCAATGCAATATTTTGAAAGAAGTATTATTTTACTATTTAAAAAAAATCAATGACTGCATAAAAAGAATATCAAAAAATTGAAAAACAATAATATCAGGTAAAAAGCAGTGCAGTATATGAATTTTGAACTAGTCTATATGTTTAGCAGTAAAACCCAGATCTTTCTTCAGCAATGACAAACTAGCTAATAATGATATGTTTAGCATTATGACCAACATAGTATTTTAAGTATGTATACTTTTACTATCTTTAAGGAGACATAAGTATTAATAACGTTCCCACTTCAGATACCCTTAAAGGGCAAGAACTCATTCATGATGCCTGACACAAAGGAAGTTCCAAAAAAGTACTTGTTAAATAAATGCCCTGATTTAATCAGTAAGATTCATATAACCTGCAACATTCTGTTCATAATGATGCTCTTAGATAATGTCAAAACTATTTTAAACAGCTTTTATACTTTGGAATTTTTGGTTGTAAGATAATAGTACCGGTCTCAGTAATATTAGCAGTCATTCAATAAACATCAGTTTCCTCTAATCTACTGAAACCATATGAGTACTAGGCCCAGGTACTTAACTTGGGAGAAAAGAAAAATTTTTAAGTCAATCAAAGCAAGACAGAAAGGAATTTGGACAGAGAGTCCAGAGGTCAGATATTAACTCTACAAGTATGACAGTCTATAACACAGTATCTTGACCAAATATTTTGACTAGACACACAGATAAAAACTAGATAAGATACTTACCAAATGTATAAACTGCACAGAAATAGGAATGATAGCTAATATATCAGGTAAGACAATAAGTAGCTAAAATGAAAACAGGATCTAATCCCTTTTCTACAGATAAAGAAACTGAGGCCCAGAGAGATAGTAACATGTTGGATTTCAAACTAACAAACACAGGGTACAGAAGCGTATTATGGAATATGTTAAAACAAGTTGTGGATAAGTGAATAATTTAAATAAAACAAAACTGAATAATAGAAATAAGTATTTCTTCTTAGGTTTAAAGCATTAGCTGCATAAGGTCTGTAAGGTTTGTGTTTTAATAACAATAGATGTGAAAGATGAATTGAAGCTTTTTATATCACCCAGTATAATGAAGGTAAATCCAGAAAAGGAAGGTGGGGGTTACATCATACTAAAACCAATGTAATGTCCAGAATAAGAGATGTAATAGGCACACTCTGGCCTGATCAGATCGCATTTGGATTCAAGTCTCAGGAGAAAAATGTAGACAAGTTTGAACAAGTCCTTACAAATGCTTCAAAATTAGGTCAATTGATGAATACATGGAGGAACTGGGGATGTTTAGCATAAGGAAGAAGAGATTTGGCATAACTGGGATAAATTATTAAACATTCTCAAATATTGGCAGAGGCTTAAAAGAACAGAAAGAGCACCAGCTAGCAGAAATAAAGGAAAATAGATTTGGGGCTCTACACATAAAATGGCTGTCTAATCATGAAAGCTGCCACAATTACAACAATGTACACTATAAGAACAAAAATAAGGTTTCCTTCTTTGTATCCTAGGATCTGGAGCAGTGTGTTTAAATAATGTTCATTTTTCTTAAAACTAGAGTGAGACAGTTTATAGAACAGTGGGTGACTTGTCCCTAAATGCATTCAAGATGGTAGAAATCTACATCAATAACCTTTGAAGGCCAAGCTGGGCAATGACTTCCTCACCTAGAAGCCAAAGACCAAGGCAGAATCCAGAAATGCTTGGATGCTGCAGAATGCAGACATCAGAGTTCAGAGACAGAAGGACTCTCCCAGGATCCTAGATTCACTGTCCTGGCAGCAAAGCCAGCCCAGCAAGTCTATACAAATATCAAACCATCAAGACTGATAAGATGTTTCCCAAATTAGAGCAGAAACTCCAATGAGAATATCTATATATATCTATGAAGACAAGTAGCAGAGAACAGATCAGGTTACTCTCCATTCTTCTGACCCCCGTAGTCACCTTTTAACAAAGACAAGAACTACTGGTTTAAAAACTCTTAGGAGCTTTTACTGCATGTCTGTTAATACCTATTAATTACCTTTTATATAATAACAAAAACAAACACTATACACCAAAATGGACAAACAGAAAGATATCTAAGCTTATTTAAGAAATAGCAAGATAAAAAAGAATTTGGACAAGGGCATCCCATGTTATAAGCAAATTTGGAAGGAAAGAACCTCTCCAGGAAAACAAGCAGTAATAAGTAGAATTAGGCCACATTTCTCTGAGGAAGAATAAAAAAGGGGAAACATATTTCAAAAGAAATTCCTCAACCTCTTCACCTGGAAGCTACCATAACCAAGTGTGTTATGCATATTATTAATTCTGAAGATCACCTCACTTTTCAATAAGATAGAACATCTTACTTGTTGCACCAAGGCGACGTGTGTCTCTGGCAATATAATTTGCAAAGATAATAGATCTCATGCTGGTCTTACCAGACCCACTTTTACCCATCAACAGCACCTAGGTACAAAAGTGGGAAAAAGAAAGAAAAAGTTAGCAATCTAGAAAAAAATCTAGTGTAACAGAACCATCTCTCTCCTGTATTTGATGCTTTACTGAAATGACAGTACCAATAACCTCGTGTAGATACTTATAACTAAGCAAACTGTTCCTCAACCAACAGTAAATACAGACATACTAGCATTCCAGGAGCCAGGCACTTACCTGCCAGAGGCCAAATATTGCTTTGGAAATAAAATTGCAGTGAATTTATATTATTAATACCTAATATTGATATATTTAGAATTAGGCTAGAAAATTCCATTTTAAAAGAAAACTAAACCCTGTTCTCCCATAACCTAGTAGTGTTCACACTGAACTATCAGCAGGGGATTTCAGCATAATAGAAGGTCTTCCTCCTCCTGCTCAGGGTCAATCTTTTCATCTGTACTATACATATCATTACTTCCACCTACCTCTATAATATTGTTCCATTAATTACTGACACTCCGTTTTCTTTTTAAAATTTTCCCATGGCCTATAGGATCAAGTCCTTAAACTACACATAAGAACCTCCTTGATCGTTTACCTACTTCTGTCTTTATCTCTTGCCCCTCCTGCTCTGAATATTTATGCATCTAGCCACATTGAAATGAACAGTTTGTAGTCCTTCTGATCCCAGCCATATAGGAAGTCCTGCCTCTGTCTCTGTTTCGTGCTGTACTCTATGCCAGTAACATTCCATTCTCCCTTTTCTTCTTTCAACTAAGTTTCATTTATCCTTCAAAACTTGGTTCAGTAATCATATCCTGAGGAATCTCCTGTGACCCCAATGCCCTAGGCTGCCTTAGGGGTCTTACCTCTGTACCCCCATGGTACTTTTTATCATTACAAGATCATAATGCATTGCAGGCACTCATCACAAATGGCCTCTTTGTATCTCTAGTACCTAACATGTAATAGATTGTTAAAATATGTTTATCTAAAGAATGAACAAGCTATCAAAACAAAGATACAAAGCAAGAGAGTTTTTAACAATGAGAACTATCTTGTGGAAAGTATGGTCTTATGAACGTAAACAGACTTATTGGGAACGTTAGCATTTAACATAGAGAGAAAAACACCTGTCAAAGATATAGTATATTAGTACATTAAAAAGCAATTCAGTAAACTGGGCATGCTGGTTCATGCCTGTAATCCCAGCATTCAGTAGGCTGAGGAAGGAGGATCACCCCAAGTTCAAGGCCAGCCTGGGATACATAATGATTTCAAGGCCAGCCTGAACTATATAGCAAGACCCTGTCTCAAGAAATAAAAAAAAGAAAAACCATCCAAACAAAAAAGCATTCATTAAAATCACATTAAATGACATTTAAGAGGCCTTTAAAATTAAAAATGTATTAAATACAGTTCTAATTACCTTGTCTTGCCAACACAAAGGATACATGTTCTACCTTCAACCTTAACATATTCTGTAAAAACTTACTACAAATTTAAGGAATATTAATAAAAATGTATTGCACTCAGGCTTGATTCAATCTAACAATTTAATTATGTAATTTTATCTCACTGAAAAAATGTCACTGCTGAATTAGTCTTTAAAGCTCGAACAAACAAGTTTGTTTTTGTTCTTTGAAAACATTTTAACCAAAAATCAATAATTGTATACGTTTCTAGAATGCAACAAGTTTTGATACATGTATACATTATGGAGTGATTAAATAAATCTAACTTTTGCTCTTAATCATGTAAAAATGTACAGTACTTTTAGGCATCCTTGATGATAGCAATTTTAGACAGGCTCACGAAATTCCCTCAGCAAACTGGAATTATTAAATTGATTAACTGAAACTAACAGTAAATATATTTCTTTTGTTTTTCAATAAAAAGGTCTTTCCTCAAATGTTATAAAAGACTATTAACAAGGCAAATCATAATATAAATATTAATGTAAAGCCTCTACAGGAATTTGCTTGTTTAAACCTCACACCAACCCTATGAATTAGGTCTTACCATTTTACAAATGAGGACACTGAAGCCCCAAAAATGTTAATAAATTTGCTCCAGAATTGCACTATTGGTGATTCTGCCTAAATCCCAAAGTGGGGCACAGAATCATAAGAGCACAGTGTCAGGTTACAGCTGAAGACATTCCCTATAAGACCTTATAGTAGTAACATTTTGAGTTGATTTAAAAATAAATGTGCAGGCAGACCCCTATGTAATGTGTGTATGTGACTTGATTTGGTCAAATTTATATATTAGAAAAATTAGGTCCAATAGCAAAGAAGGAGATGAGAGTCAGGAAGAGCACATAGAAGATTCCTGGAAGGGGTGTGTGGGTGTGGGTGTGTGTGTGTGTGTGTAACACATTTTTGAATAACAAATTCTTACCTTTACCTTCATGTTTCTAATGTACCTCATATATCTTACCTTTTTCTTCATGGCTGTATTTGGTAGCACCCACCTGCAGATATAAACCAAAAGATAGAATTTCCATGATCCATCATTTTTAGAAATTAAAAATTTAAAAATACAAATAAATCTGGAAATGTAAACATATATTTAATACGATAGCTGATTACAACTATGTGGAGGACCTGAGTTCATTAGAGGCTGTTATTTTTCTAAATTATAAAACTGGGTTTATGTTCCCTATCTCCTAATTACAAGCTATGAAGATAGCTTCTGGGAAGATTTATCTAAGAATACAAATGACTTATTAAATTCAAGAGTTAAATTTTCATCATCTTAAAAATTAATTAAACCAATATGTACACAAGCTATAATAAAAAAAATTTGACTATCTCTATTTTGTCAAATTCAGCGCTCTATTTTTTGAAATCTGGAAGTACCCTTGGTCCTTTCGCAATCCTTCCACGTCATATTTCAATCATTAAAGGCAGAAGATCCATATAATAACACAAGTCTCAGATTCAGGTACAAATCAACACAAAAAGCACTCTAAAATCACTAGTCTCTGAACAGACAATGTTAATCCTCTTCCTAGTCTTATTCCCAACATGAATATATCTAATCGCCTTGACTAATCTAAAGCAACTCAGAACTATCTTCTCAATTAGAACAACCCACATACACCGAGAATATCAGTCCCATTCCAAGGGCTCTTTCTGCCCAGTTAGCACTAGTCGTCCCCTTTTCAGTTTATCCTGTCGTCAAAAACATGATACCAATCAACTCTACTGTTAAACAGAAAGAATTTATCATTGGGAGTTGGAAGATGTTTTAACTCATAATACTCTCTTCAAGTATAGCACCCTCCCTTCAGATTTTCCATAATACCCGTCACCCACCCAAGCGATCCTTCCGGTTCCCCTAGTGGAGGATCCATTCTTGGCCCTAGATTTTCATTCTCCATCTTTTTCTCAGAGTCATATTCTTCCATCGTGCAACAAGTCCTTTCCGGGCCCTTCTAAATCCGCAGTACTCTATTTGTCCTTGTTCACCACCCACCCCCCCTTAACTGCCTATTCTCATGGCCTGTGGCCCTTACGCCAGCTCTGTTCTTTCCTCCTTCTTTGTCCACTGGGGGCCGCTTTCGCCGCGGATATCTTTACCGCCCTGAACCTGGTCTCAAGGAAAGGCCAAGCGGGCCGGCTCAAAGGCGGAGTTATTCGGTGATGTAAGAGAGGATGAGAGGGAAAAAGGGTGGGTTGGGGACTCGTCCGGATTTTGGGCCTCACGCCACAAGGTCTGGAAACCCAGAAGTAACTTCACCCGCAAAGAGGTGGGCACTGCAAAGGCAGAGGCGGCAGAAAGAGCGGAACCCTGCTGTAGGCCATAAACAGGGAACGGCTCCTCTGGCTGGTAGCTGCGGAGACTGGCCGTCTAGGTGAGTTTGCTGGTAGCGGTTACGACCTAACCACCCGCCCTTCAGGAGCCCAGGTACCTCACCGCAGACACGAGACTGCAGGCCACGATCACGTGAGTACCGGCCGTACGTCCCGAGACTGTCACGTGACTGCCTACCCAAGGGGGGGGCAGTACGAATACCATAGAGACTGCTTTGAGAAAGCCAGAGTGCCGCCTGTCGCCATCACTGGTGTGGGTTCTCACATCTGTGCCACCGTCCTGGTAAGACGCTGCTGACTACAAGCCAGCTTGGCCTCGCCTGATCGCTGAGGAGAATTAAAGGAGAGAGTTGTAATTTCAGTGCCTTGCAGCTAAGGGTTTTTACTGCTGCTTACCCTTAAGAGTTCTTAGTGGGGAAGAGCAGACTTGTCTTTTACATATTGTTATTCCTTGTAACTGAGTTTGTAATGAATGCTTATTTTTTAGTACATGTGTGAGTACAGAATGTTTACATTCTTGTATAGAGTTGGTACATGTACACAGCACATCTTAATTCCTCTTTTCATCCCCTTTTCTCCCTTCCCTCTCCTTTCTATCTCTTGATCCTCTTTCCATTTAAGGAAAGATCTCTCGCCTTATTTCCTATTATCTATCTTTTATTTTGCTCTTTATATATAATTGAATTTCTCATATAAGAGAAACCATGTGATATTTAAGCTTGAGTGTCTGGTTTATTTCGCTAAACATGGTCTCAAAGTGCATCCATTTTCCTACATATGACTCTAGTTTATCTTTATGGTAGAGTAGTACCCCATTGTGTGTAAATACTACATTTTCTTTATCTAGTCATCTGTTGATGGACATTTAGGCTGCTTCCAAGATTTAGCTATTATGAATTGTGCTGATATAAACATGGGTATGCATATATTACTGTGAATATTTCTAAAGGGCTTAAAACTGTGCTTTTTACAGAGAATGCACTCAAGTTATCAATGGAAGGAGGGATTCGTCGGAGACATTAGCACACAAGTTCATCACTACAGTCTTTTGTAAATGTTTTTGCAAATATCATTTAAGAACTTTTGATGAACACATAATATTTGTATGCTTTATGGGGTACAGTATGGGAAATAAATTTCCATATACTATAGTAAAAACTGTTACACCCAGTGAGAGAGAACCAACCAGAGCCAATATTAAATCCACACAGGAGTTTATTACTGGCCCCGGGACCCGAGCCGAGCATCAGACTCCAGCCTTGACTGGGGGTTGACAAACATGTTTTATACACCTTTGAGGCCACCAGTTTCTGGGACCCCCTATGGGCTAGAACTAGTAAAGCAAGCAAAAGGTACAGAAGCAGAACTTCCTGCTGTTAGAACATTTGTAAAACAATAGTTGATTAATTGTTGTTTCTAAGAGACTCTCTAAGGGGAGGCGGTTTCTAAGCTTCCTCCTTCTGAGTTCATCTAAAGGGCAGGCAGGTGGGTCAAGCAGCAATATGGAGTCTGTCTTGCTAACTAGGGTCCTTCAAAAAGTAAAGTCTAAAATCGATAAATCAAGTGAGAGGTGAGGCACATTGTTTGAGAAGCCAGTGAGGTGGGTAGTAAAAAGAATATAGCAAGCATCAAAGAATATAGGAAAATGAAGAGTTCATTGATAGGGCCAGGGATGTAGCTTGGTGGTTCTGCCCCCTGCCTCGAAAGGGCAAGGTCCCAAGTTTGATCCTCAGCACCAAAAAACAACAAAAAAAGAGTTCATTGATAAGCTGCAAGAGAGCGGTGGGCAAATTCCAAGAAAACAATGCATCAGCTGTGAGAAAAGCAGGGACATTTATATTTGATTTTAATGTGAGGAGGAGGTATGGGAACGTCATCTCAGGAACACTTTCATCAGGTCATGGTTGTTCCATTGTCCATCTATCTCAGTTCTGAGGATAGCCAAGTCTTGTTTGAAGACTGAGTAACATTTTCTTCAATAGGGTTCAGTGCTCTTGGCTTTGTTATTTTTTTTAAAAGTCCTTCCTTATATTTTTTTCCCATGGAGAAACTTTAGTGTTTTACTACAAACTCATCATTCAGCTGCAGTGTGGCCTTAAAGAAACAATGGCAAAATAACCATGATTCCCCACATGAAGGACTACTACTGGTAAGAATATTCATATTGTATTTGGATATAGGAACCACCAGAAAACATGCCTGTAAAGAATTCCAAAGCATTGCTTATGGAGAGCAGGACAGGGGATAAGGAGCCAGATGTCAGAATACATGCCTGTAATTGCAGCACTTAAGAGGCTAAGGGAGGAGGGTCTGTGAGTTTGAGGCCAGCCTGGGCTGCATAATGAGGTCAAGGCTCACCTGAACTACACAGCAAGACCCTGTCTCAAAGTGGGGATAAGAAATAATGGGTCAGGGGACTGTTTCTTTCCATTTTATGCCATTCTGTATTCTATATAATTTGTATTATATATATAAATTATATATAAATATTACAGGCATATTTATTGTAGGGAACAGGGAAAGGGGACATTACTAGAACCTCTGCAGTAAATGCTAGTCTCCTTTGAGCCATGGCAGCACAAGGTGAATTACAGGAAAGGTAGAAAAATGAGACTTTGAGAAGAAGTTGAGCTTTGGGTCTGATCAGTGCTGCTCTGGGCAGCAAAGACGAAAGCCCCCAGCTTACCACACCTTTTATTCAGTACATTGGGAGAAACAAATGTAACAAATGACTTGCAGAGAGTTCAGTACATTGCTTAAACAAGATGTAACAATCCAAGAACAATGAGGAACTGAGTAGATGTTTGCTCCTCCCAGAATGTCTTCAGCTGGTGTAATCTTGTCCTGGAGAATCACAGCATCACCAGATCATTGAGATCTCGGTTGTGACTGGAAGCCAAAATGGAATTATGTCTCAGAATTCCATAGCTGGGCAGTAGGCAGAACTAGGCTAACCAAATGATTTTTCCCTAAAATTATATAGCATTGCTCCCGACATATCTCCCTTTCTTTTTGTTTTATGTGAAGGTGTTTTTAGGAAAAGTGAGCACACCCAACAATGGCTTGTCCCTATATATTGTGAGGATCTATAGTGTGGTTGACTGGCTCAGCTGTCTATAATAAGCATAAATTTCCCTCAATGGGGGCTGTAAAAGGATTAAAATTCTAATAATTTTTTTAAACATTGTTGGCTAAAAAACTTAAAACTTTTGTTGAACTCAAATAAATATTGTCTTCAGTTATACTTTTCTACTGGGTGTTTAAGACCAAGTTATGGTGAGACTTATATTAAATAAAATCAACCTCTTGTTATCTAACAAGGTCAATTAAGTCTCCTCAGGCACTGTCTTGGAACCATACATAGAGCTTCTTAGCTTCTCTGTCAGTATCAGCCTTCAGGATATGTCACAGCCTTGCTTGAACATTATTGCTTTCTGTGAAAACATGGGAGATTTTTCCTCCAGGTGACATTCCTTTGGCACACTTTTTGTTGGATCTTACCATTTTGGTGTTCAGCAACCTCCCTGCTCAGGAGGTTGGGTAACTCACCAAAAATGCAGGATCTTGGAGATGGTTCCTTCATGTCCTGGATCTGTTTGTTATTGGTGTTGACCTTGGAGGGCCAGGGCCAAAATATTGGCTGCCTTCTTAGCCCAGATACCTCTTCAGTTCTGGTCTCTAAACTTTGGTTGTTGAATGCCCAGAAGAGAAGATCAATAACATTAGCATTGTAAGAGGAGTAGTGAACTCAACTATTATAATTTTACCTGGATATTAAGCATTTTGGAATAAAAATATAGTTAAACTGTTATTATTGCCAATTATGGCTGTTCTTGTGGTTGGATCCCTAAGTAGCTATCTTTTTATAGGATAACATCTAAGGAAAATATATCAGCCTACAAGTGTCCTTATTATCATAGGTGGCTGGACCATAAGAGAAGGGCAAATATCTGAATCAAAAGGTTATTACCATAAACAGTATGTTGGAAGACCCATACAATTAGAGGGCATGAATACATTTTGTACACCAGAAAAGGAGCAGTAATAAATATCACAGTTATATAACACCTTATGTTCATCAATGTAGTTTGGTACCAAAAAGCATCTTTCTAATAACACTCTTTTGTTTATGCCACAGAAATTAATCTTTTGAAGATGGCCAGTGTAGACATATCACAATAACATTTTTAGAACTTAACCAATATAAACATTTTATAATAACATTTAGAACTTAAACTTCAATGATAACCAATGTAATCAATTTATAACAACATAGATAATATTTATTGCAGTGTGTCTCCCATAAGATTATGAAAATTAGTAGGGGGTTCCTTTAGTGAATTAAAACCAGAATAATTATTTTCTGGGCGGCCACTTCTTTATTCACCAAAGGGAGTACCCATGGTCTCTATGTGCTTTGACAAATAAATCTCGATGGCACTTTGATCACTTAGCAACCTGGGGGAAGAAGGGTATGCCTTTAATTTAATAACATTTATCTGTAACCCAATCCAATAATAGGTGAATATCTTTTAAGAAAAAAAAAATTTTTTTTCAAAAGGTGAAATGGAAAAGAGAGAAAAAAAATGGAGCTCAACTGTACAAACAGACAAACAGACAACAGACAAACATATAAGATAATTTATAAAATTAGAGTGCACTAAAATATATTTGGCCAAATTGAATTATAATATACCTTTTATGATTTTTAGGTTTATAATTGTATGTAAGACTGGTCAAAAACTTTTGTAGTCAATTAACAGAGATCTCTTGAGATTAGAATCAGAAGGAATGCAAGCACTTTTATGCCTATAAATGTAAAAAGAACATTTTCCAGTTGTGCCCCCTGCCTTTTTTTTAATCTATATTTATTCTTCCTCTGGGGACATCATCTCAATCCTGGACCCCACTGTGGATTTGCTGGTCATTGCTGGTGAGATGGGTTGCTCAGGTGCAGCTGGCTTATCACTCTCAGCCAGGGTGCTATCACCCATTCTCCAAGATGTTGGCGGTTCCACCAGTGTGACCCATGGTCTCACATTCCAGGAGGGCAGCCACAAGGTTTCATCATTATCTGTCAGGACACAGGCAAAACCT